ATCTCTTAGTTGTTTTATCAAAGAGTTTGGGATATTGTCCGTACCTACTGAGTGAGAGTTAGGAAGATGACTTATCAGTTTTTGAATACATTCAGGAGAAAAATTAATGAAACTAAGAGAAGCATCAGACAACGAAGGAATTGAAGGGATCGGATCAGTTTCAATGGTGAAATGCTTGGCAAAGAACGAATTTAAAATTTCTGCTTTTCCTGACTCCTCTGTAATGAAGGCATCACTTACGCTCCATAGGAGTGAGATCATGACAAAGGAAAATTTTTGCCTTCTCTAGGTACGCAGTGACACGCTCTCGATGAGTAAAGATCGTGTCTACTTCGATTGATGAAAACAATTTGACTAAGATGGGTGGATTTGTACTACGGGAGGACAAGCGTTTGGCATCAGCTATTTTATAGTTGAAACCACATGAATACAGGAAACTGGTCGCAACATCAATTGGCCGAGCAGATCGAGGAACATTTTTTTAGCAGGAAGTTGTAAGAACGCTTCTGTCTATCACTAGATTCACTGGCCATCAGGTGAACAAGTGAATCGAGACGCCTACATTCTTCAGAGGGAATATCGGAGATGTTCCCGTCGAATAAATGTCCAAGAATTGTCAGCATGGAGCCAAACTTTAGCATAAAGTCATTGCAGTGGTCAAGTGCAGACAGATTAAGCTGCCGACCAATTACAACGGGTGACGACTGACTAGTAATATCACCTGACTTAGATTTAGGTAAAGCTTCTGACTTACGTTTAGTTAGGGCATGTTTACTTACAAGAGCCGAGAGCTTACGTCGACCAGTGACTTTTGGTCTCATCTTGTCTCGAGGCAATTTGTGATTAAGAGGACTTCTGGCAGACAAGTTGACTGAATTTCAGCTAGGGGCTAACGATGTAAAAATAAATTACAACAGTTTGAGGGAAATCGGATGCACAAAATGAGAACTGCAGAGTGCGATTAATGAACAACGGGCATAGACTAGCAAAACTCGAAAGGAGATGGCAGCGGGCAGTTCTTAGAGAAAAGGTCTGTATTTAAGGAAATTCAAACAAAAAAACAGGTACTAAAATCGTTAGAAAACTAGGAAACTAGGAATTGCATTTTGTAAAGATTCGGCCTACCTCATCTAAAACTCGCATGCAAATTTATTTTAACTTGCTTTGATGGGACCCCGACGGGTCTTTAGTAAAAATTATCTATCTATCTTCCCAGTTGGTCTGGTTGATTTGCAGGCGCTTCAGGGAGGACTTCAGGGTGCCCTTGTAACGGCAAATTTGGCCTCCTTGACGACGAGAACCCGTCGCGACGTCTCCGTTGAAGAGTCGTTTGGGTAGTCGCTCGTCGTCCATGCGCACCAGGTGGCCGCTCCAGCGTAGCTGCATTTGTATCAACATGGAGAAGATGCTTAGGATTCCCGTCCGGTCCAGCAAATCGGTGTCGGGGATGCGGTCCTGCAAGTTCAGCCTCAGGATGCGACGGAGACAACTGAGGTGGAAGTGGTTCAGTCGACGTGCCTGCCTCGTGTACACCGTCCACGTTTCTGCTCCGTACAGTAACGTCGGCAGGATGACGGCCTTGTACATCTTCAACTTTGTGCTCAGTTGGAGACCGTGGCGATTCCAAACTGTGCTTTGGAGGCGTCCGAAGGCTTGACTGGCTTTCGAGATTCGGTTGGCGACTTCGTCATCGATCTTTATGTTGCGAAATAGGGTACTTTCCAGGTACGGGTAGTTCTCTACCATTTGCAGTCGGGTCCCATTCACGTTGATTTGCGGCGCGTTGGGGGCTGTGGCTGAGTTGGGCGGAGGTTGGTGCATCACCACCGTCTTCTGCGTATTAATGATCAGACCGAATTTCTCGCAGGCGCGGAGATCAGGTTCATGCTCCGTTGAATCTCCGCTTCGAAGGTGGTGTTCAGGGCGCAGTCGTCGGCGAAGAGGAGTTCGTGCACGTTGGCTGTGGATACGCGCGCTTGGAAGTTCACGCGCCGTTGATTCAGGAGATGACCGTCCGTTCTGTAGGCGATGCGGATTCCAGGGCGTTCGTCGCGGTAGGCGTCCATCAGCATGGCAGAGAACATACGACTGAAGAGGATTGGTGCCAGCACGCATCCCTGCTTCACTCCGTTGGTCACTGCGAATGCCTCTGAGACAGCTCCGTTGTCCGTGACTCTCGCTATCATACCGTCGTGCAGCTGCCGCACCATCTGAGTGAATCGCTCCGGACAGCCGAATTTCTGCATGATCTTCCACAGTCCTTCACGATTCACCGTGTCGATGGCTTTCGTCAGGTCCACGAAGGTAGAGTATAGGTGGGTCCGCATCTCCTGGCACTTCTCCTGTAGTTGGCGGGCGGCGAAGATCATATCCGTGGTCCCACGATGACGACGGAAGCTGCGTTGGCTTTCCGGTAGAAGGCCCCGTTCCAGATGGTTATTGAGGCGGTTGAGAAGGATGCGAGCGAAGATCTTCCCGGTGATGTTCAGCAAGGAGATGCCACTGTGATTGTCACAGACTTGGCGGTTCCCCTTTCGCTTGTACAGATGCACGATTGTTGCGTCCTTGAAATCTTGCGGGACTTCGCCTTGACGCCACATCTCCTGGAAGAGCGCAGTCAAGTGATCCATTAGTTGGGGACCTCCGTGCTTGTAGACCTCAGCAAGGATCGCGTCCGATCCGGGTGCTTTCCCGCTGGAGAGCTGCTGTACGGCCCTGATGGTTTCCTGGAGAAATGGCGGGAGGACGAGGTCTGCGTTGGTCTCCACTTGCGGCAAACGCTCGATTGCGGTGTCAGAGATGACGGAGGGGCGGTTGAGGACGCCTCGGAAATGCTCGGCCCATCGCTGCAGGATTTGCGTCTTCTCAGTCAGGAGAGTACTGCCGTCGGCGCTGAGCAGAGGAGCAGTGTCTTTCGTCGGCGGACCGTAGACGGCTTTGATCGCAGAGAAGTTCTTCCATTCGTTGCGGCCCGCGTAGCCTTGGATCTCCTCAGCTTTGCGAGCAGTCCAGGCGTCCTGCATCTCGCGCAGTCGTTGCTGAAGCTGGCGGCCACTGCGGTAGAAGACACCTTTGTTGTCCTCAGTGGGGTGATCTACGTAGGCTTCATGTAGGCGGTTCTTCTCAGCAAGCAGATTTCTGATGGCGGCGTCGTTTTCATCGAACCAGTCCTGGTGTTGGCGGAGAGCGCGACCGAGGACGGCGAGCGCCGTCGCCTGGACCCTGTCTCGAAGTTGACGCCAGCGGTTCTCCACGGAGGCGTTCTCGGCAGCGGCGGCGTCGTCGGCGGCAGCGATAGGAAGGTTGTCTAGCCGTTGAGCTAGCTCATTGCTGAAATGGAGATGGTGAGCGGGCAAAGACATCAAGGCAACATTCACCTTACCTGGGGGGCGCTTACCCTGTGGTCGCCTGCGAGGTTGTAGACGAATACGCAACTTCGAGATGACGGGGCGATGGTCGGTCCACCCGTCAGCACCCGCGATCGCTTTCTTCACCAGTACGTCCGGCTGATCTCGCCTCCGGACGAGGACATAAACCAGCAGGTGCCACTGACGCGACCGAGGATGCCTCCAGGTGGCCTTCTCTCGCTCCGGCAGACAGAAGAACGTGTTCGTCAGGATGAGGCGGTGTTCTGCGCAGGTGCGGAGCAGCAGCAGGCCGTTGTCGTTGGGGCCGCGGAGACCTTGGGGGCCCAGCACTCCTTTCCAGGCAGTATCGTCTGTGCCGACGCGGGCGTTGAAGTCACCAAGGACAATCAACTTGTCCGCCTTCGGCACCGTCGCCAAGAGGGCGTTCAGGCCCTCGTAGAATTTGTCTCTTGCGGCGGCGTCGGGGCTGCTCCTCGGCGGAGCGTAGGCGCTGATGATGGTGGCGAATTTGCCCCCACTCCAGAGAGGCAGACGGAGGCTCATCAGGCGATCGTTGATTCCCTTTGGCAAACAGGGTAGTCGTCCCACGATGACATTCCGGAAAGCGAAGGCAACACCCGCGTCTCGTCGCTCTGCCTTGGGCCGACCACTCCAGAAGAAGGTGTAACCGGCACCCACCTCTTCCAGTTGGCCTTGTTCGGAGAATCGGGTCTCGCTGAGTGCGGCGATGTCCACCTTGCAGCGCGCCAGTTCTCGTGCCACTAGCGCCGTTCTCCGTTCCGGTCGGTTGCTCCTCGGATTGTCTAAAAGGGAACGAACATTCCAGGCTGCCAGAGTAAGCGGACTCACCTTGCCAGTCTGGCAACTGCGGCGGCGAAAACTAGGAGGAGGAGAAGAAGAATAGGCTGGAAGAGGAAGAGAGTGGTTGTTGTTGTTGTTTCGGTTTTGGCTGTTTCGACCGTGTGCGTTTTGTCTGCGGCCACGCCAGCCTACAGACAGCGTGGTTCCCAGCGATCTTTAGGGCACCTTTTCTAGCCCCTCGCCCATCGCGAGGGCAGGCAACGCATCCCTGAACAGGGCTGCCCGGTTATCCCAGACGGCCGCTGAACTCCACTATGGGCCACGACTTTTTGTTAGTGAGAGAACGACCCGAATTAGCCTGGGACCTTGGTGGTGATGGTGATGAAGTTGTTGAGAGCATACAAGCAACAGAACGCTATGGGACTTACAGCTAGCTAGAGTGGACAAGCAGGCGCATTCATAATTCAGAGACAAAAGTGAGAGGGCATCCTTCAAGATCAAGCATAGTGACACCTAGCTGTTAGCAGTGAGAGGCATTGACTGACAGACAGACAGTCGCGGCAAGCATCAAGAGTTTCATCTAGATAATAACAGACAGACTAGCATATAGGTTCAGGCAACAAGAGCAGCGAACAAAACGGAACTTCAACAGACAAAAGGAGGAAATAAAGCAAATTCACTTACCTGAAGAAGAACTTACCTGGTGGCCTCCTGTGGTGGTCCAGGCAGAGCCTCGTCTCGACGGTGTCGACGCGAAGATCCATCCGGCCAGCGGAGTCCACAGTACCGCGTGTGCAGGTGCACGCACGGATACCCTCACCTGCTTTAGCCCGCCGGTCGAGACGGTTGCCCGGGGTGTGGCCGCTGAGCAGAGCCCAGCTATGTGGAGCCACAGGTGAGAGTTGGGTGCCAGCAAAGGGACGCTTGGCGTAGTCTCACCTGCAAGCAAGTGAGCGACCACTACGACCATCACGTGAACCCACCGCTGGACACCCCTACATCCCTACACCCATGTGTATGGAACGTGCCAGATAAAGAAATAAAAAGACCTCACGGTGACTATTACGTCGGGGGTGGTCAAAATGCTTTAAAGCAGTAAGCCGGTTAAAAGTACGATTTTTGAGAAGCTTAAACAGTAAAAATAGTCCATTTTGTAGTCCACAAAATCAAAAGGGGTAATAGTGTGTAAGCCAGCAACGTTCTTGGTAAGACAAATTTCGGCGTTTCTAGGTTAAAAGTCTCTTAGTAAACAATGTTGGACGGATTCTCTTTTCTTCCGCCCAGCAGCAAGCACCAGGTTAAATAAAAGCGAACATTATTCCAGGCCCGGTTTAACGTACATGTTATCAAGGCGAATTCTTATATCGAAAGTTTGAAAATTTAGGAGTATAAATCCGGTCGCTCCGCGTGCATTGGAGACTATCAAGGCGCAATGCTTCGAAAGATTAAGGCACTTGGAGTATGATACACCAAGATCCCTAATAGGTCCAGGCACATTTATGTCGTGACCGTCAATACTTAGTTGGGATTCGTGGTTATCGCTCGCAACCATGACTGAGTATTTATGCCAAGACATAGAAAGGCGCCATGTGCAACACCACCCGGCAAAGGCCTGGGGGTCGCTTTTCAGGAACTCGAGCACGATGTCACGATCTGCTGGCTTATGTCGACATGCAGCTTCCAGATCATCGGCATACATGAAGGGCCTACCATCCTGAAATAAATCTGGTACATCGATAGCAAAAAGGCAAAATAATAGCGGAGCAAGTACACTAACATGAATGACTCCACTCCTCACACACGTGGGGTTGGAGATAGCATTGGAAATCTTAACTCGTTATGTGCGACTGCCAAGGTAAGGGAATATAAAATTCAAAAGTTTGCCATCTATTCCGCAAGAGGAGAGTTTCAAGAGAAGAAGAGCATGGTCAACACGGTCAAAAGCCTTAGTGAAATCGATATGGACTGTCTAAAGTGCATAACCATTGTCTCTAGATTGAAAAACATGACCGATGAAATAGAGCTGACAGATGTAACAAGAACGAATTTTGAGGAATGCGTGCTGAGCAACACTCAGTAGGTTATTTTCTGTTAAGCGACACATCATCTTATCTTTGAAAAATGTCTTCATCATTTTAGAAACTGCGGGAAGGATGTTTATTGGCCGAAAGTCATAAAATGACGTTTATTCGTCATGCTTGGAAAAAGGCAAAGTTTGTGATTCCTTCCACAAAGCAGGATAGGTTTCACTTTCAAGAGCAAGATTAAAAATCTTGCAGAGAAGGAATGGGGAATTTTCATTTGCGTCCGCTTTTACAATGATAACTGTGACACCACCAGGTCCTGGGCTATGAGACCTATGAAGCCGCCAAATTGCTCTAATCACGTACCACAAGGTGAAAGTTATCGTTTTGTGAAGTTCTCCGGACCAAGCCCGGGTTATCAAAAACGGAGTCAAGGAGTTTCAAAGGTCGTTTTGGACAGGAAAGCATTGAAACTATCAGCGGTCAACTGAGCACCAGCTATAGGATATTCGAGAGCGTCTCGAGGCTGGGATGCTGCGTTTTTATATGAGTTTATTCTTCTCAGGAGAAATGTTTCGAGATATTTAATGAACAGTTTTTGGCGAATTGGACCTCTTCGACTAGTTGT